ATAATGTCTTCTCCCAGGGGAGCATACCAAGTTTTAGGAAATGAGACAGATTATAAACCGGGGGCAGGAGCAGGCAGGCAGTAGATGAGGGCCATAGATCAGGGCCATACGAACTTCCTCACAAACATGAGAAACACCTAACTTGAATGGCAGCTTTCATTCTCCCTTCGACTCCCCTATCCTATGTGCTGAAAGGTTGGCAGTTTGAATCCACCAGCTTCTCCTGGGGGGAAAAGATGCCATTTTTCTCCTTTATATTGATTTTGCAGCTTCAGAAACCGATGGAGGGACAATATACTCGGAATCAATTTGATGGGAGTTTGATGGGGTTCTTTCCAGTAATTACTAAAGTTCTTGTTGAAAATGGCAGCCTCTCACTGTGCCAAGGGGAACAGGGAGGCGGGGAGGCTGGGCAGAGAATCCCAGGACACACGCTGCCACCGACAGGGACTGTGTGGGCCGCGTGACATCCGTTCTGCTAACTGTACAAAAACCAAGTGTTCAGAAATCATGTCCAAGGTCAAATACACCAGTCGTGGGATTTAAAATTGTTTTCTCCACACACAGTGCTATGTTTTAACCACATGTGCACTCTATTTTTTCTTTTACAGGAGAAATAGCTTGTGTAGTTGATTCCTTTGTTGTTGTTATGAGGTGTTAATGAGCCAAGTGTTAACTCACCAAGTGACCAAGACCAAAACTTTACCTGATCTTGTGTTAAATTTACAGTCTCCACTGTAAACAAGCCACTGTGTCAGTCCTTCTGGTCGAGGGTCTTCCTCTCCATTGCTGACCCTCTATTTTTCTAAGCATATCCTCCTCGAAGGACTGGTCCTGTCTGCTAACATATCCAAAGTATGTAAGATGAATTCTCACCATCCATGCTTTAAAGGAGCATTCTGACTGCACTTCGTCCAGGACAGACTTGTTTGTTCTATTGGCAGTCCGCGGTAGATTCAATACTCTTTAGGAATCAAGGAAAGTTAAGCCTCATAAATTAAAGAAAACCTCAGCAGGAAGGGTCCTGCTGCTGCCTTGACATTGATTCCAACTCCAAGTGACCCCATGTGTTACAAACAGATCTGTCAGCCACGGAACTACAGGGTCATGGAAGTGCCCCCTGAAACGTTCAGGCTTAGGTACTCCTCTCTTGCTTCATGCTCTTAGCCCTGACTGGGCTTCTGGAACTTTCACTTCCTGAAAATATGAGAATGTCACATTATGCTTTTCATAAGAGAGAACTCGCCTTTACAAGAGCCCTACCCTTAGTAAATGATGTTTGATAAGTGACTGGGCTGTTAAAGGAAAATAGATGGGGAGGTGAGAAATAAAAAGATATCTGATTTCAAAGGAATAAAAATACTTTATAAAAAAACCCAAACAACTCTGTTCACAGAAGTCTTCAGGTTTTTGTCTTTTCTACTATTCTTCCATGGTCTTTGCAATTACTTGCTATGCATCAGAGAGCTGGACAATGACTAAGGATGACAGAAGAAGAATTGATGGCCTTTGATTTGTGGTGCTGGAGAAAAATGTTGAAATACCATGGACTGCAAAGAGAACAAAGAGGTCCACCATAGAGAGGATGAAACCAAGCTGCTCCTTAGAGGCAAGGATTCTGAAGCTTCGTCTGACATACTTTAGAAATGTTGTCAGGAGGGACCAGTCGTTGGAGAGGGACATCATGCTTGGAAGGGGGGAGGGACAGTGCAAGAGAAAAAGACCCTGGATGAGATGGATCGATTCAGTGACTGGGGTAATAGGGATAGGTGTATCAGAGACAAAGAAATTGGCTAAAGATAGAGCTGTTGTACTTAAGGTCGCTGTGAGTTGCAGATGCCTCAATGGAACATAACAACACTATTACTCCAACACACAACTCTTAGCTTTGTAGTGCAAAAAGGAACTCTAATCTGGATTATTAAATCATTCTTAAAGTCTTCCTACCATCATAGACAAAAGAAATGTATTGTTCAATGTCCTTCAAATTGGTCCTATGCTAGGACCGCTTATCTGCCATATACACACTGTTGACACACATGCTGACATGGATTTATATTCACATGTCAAGAATACAAAACAAAACCGCTATTACATAAGTGAAAAGAATGAGATCCACAGTCAATACAGGTAAAACAATAATGACGTGTATAATAATGAACTGGGAGCAGTAGAACTAGGGCCTGAACACTCCTTTAGTTGAACACTCCTTTTTCACATAACTAAAAGGAGAACTGCATTAAATAACGTCCAAGGTCATTCCAAGGAGCCTTGGTGGTGCAATGGCTAAAGTGCTCCGTGGGTAGATGAATCCACTAGTCGCTCCAGGGGAGGAAGAAGAGGCAGCCTTTTTCTGCAAAGATTTACAGCCTTGGAAACCCCAAGGGGAATGTCTACTCTGTCCTACAGAATCTCCATGAGTTGGAAATGACTCAGTGGGCCAGAGGGTTTGGTTTTAGTAAGGTCCTTTCAGCAAAAGAAAAACCTGGTGAGCAACTTCTGTAAAGACTGTTGCTGTGTGCCATCGAGTCAGAACTGACCCACAGCTGACTGTCCAGCGGGTTTTCAGAGGCAGTAACTGCATGGAAGGCGACTGTCCATCTTTCTCCTGCAGAGCAGCTGGTGCATTCGAACTGCATGCTTTCAGGTTCTATAAAGACTACAACTAAGAAATCCTACAAAGCAATTCTACTCTGTAACAAACGAGGTCACCATGAATTGGAATCAATTGGACAGTAACATATTGGGATTGGGAAATAACTCCAAATCCTAAGAGGTCAAGAAATTGGGGTAAGGACCACCTATTAGACTGCTGTTCCCAGGAAACTGCTTCAATGAACAAGAAGACAATTCAGTTGCTATATCCATTCACCTCTAACTCTTGCTTTCTCCCCAGAAAATTACTCAGGCTCATTAAATGTTGAACACTCAATCCAAGAAGAGCTAAAACTGAAGTAAGGGTTAAAAGACCTCTTGCAAGGTTACACTGTATGATTTCATTCATGCAGTCAATAACTTGGCAAATATTTACTAAGCATCTGCCTTTAATCAGGGTAGATGAATGAGTAACTGCCACCTGAACGTATAATATGGTAGATTATCTTGTTCAAACCTGTTTAAAGAGGTACATAATCAAATTAAAATGGGCAAGTTCCATGAGAGAGTGATAAAGCTCTGTAGATACAGCTTAGCTTTCTGGTTTGCAATTCCTGTCTCTACTTAAAAGTCAGGAGGCCCTAGAAGAGCTCATTTCCTTATCTATAAAATGGCAGTGATCTTCAATATTAATACCTTCATATAGGTTTTATGAGGATTAAGAGCACCACCTGGTATGTAAATAAACATTTGGTCATTGTTCAGTTGTTGCTGTTAGGTGCCTTCCAGTTGACTACCATGCCGATCTGAAGCTTGCTGTACTTATCCTGTGCCAGTCATGATCTCCCTCTTGTTTGAGCCTACTGTTTAATCCGTGTGTCAGTGTATCTTGTTGAGTTTCCTTCCTCCCTCCTTCCCTTCTTTCTTCCCTCCCTCTTATCTCTGATCCTCTATCTTTCCAAGCATGTTATCTTTCCCCAAGGAGTGACTCCTCCTGACAATAAGTACTGAGAAAAGGTTTCTCATACTATCATCCTTGCTTCTGGGGAGCACTCTGAGTGCCTGTCCTCCAAGATAGATTTATTTGTTCTTTTGGCAGTCCATGGGATATTCAGTACTATTCTCTAGCACCATAATTCAAAGTTATTAATCCATCTTCAGTCTTCTTTATCCACTGTCTAACTTTCAAATGTATAGCAAGTAACGGAAAAGATCATAGCTTGAATCGGGTGCACCTTAGTCTTTAATGTGACATCCTTGCTCGCTGGCCCTTTAAAGAGGTCCTTGACAGCATTATTTTCCCACTGCAACATGTCTTTTGATCTGAAACAATTGCAACATGTTATTTATTATGGTTATTAGGGAAATTAGGTGGGTAATCTGACTTTAGGGAGCTCTTAGTGATGAACTGTGCTACGAATGCAAGACCATGTTGGCTCTACCAAACAGAAAAATAAAAACAAATGCATACATTCTACATGATGGAAATATTCCCAGTATCATTTCTGCTCTCCAACTTCATTTTGAATTAGGTCACCCCAGGACCTACACTCAAATATGACTGAACATTCATTTCATTATTTGGAAGGCATACAGTATCAGGGAAGTGTAACCTGATGTAACCTGTGGTGGCGTTGTAGGTAAAGAGTTGTGTTTCCGACCCAGAGGCACATTGTTCAAATCTACCAACTGCTCTGCAGGAGAAAGATGGTCCATGTTCTCTCCTTCAAGTTACAACCTCTGAAAATCCGGAGTCAATTTTTACTAAACGGCGTATAACAACAACCAGTGCACCCGACTTTGCCCCCTGCCCCTCCACACTCGTCAGATGTCTACTGTGATCATTTTTTATCTTTTTTTTTTTATGGTGGACACAAGTCAGAGTCATTGCTAACAAAAATCTACTGGCCTATGGTCATTAATGATAAGGTTTATGGTATTGCACAGGATTCTTGTTTTTCATTAAAAAGTTACTGATGCTAAAAGGAACTTATCTTTGCTGAGAGCCAGTTATTTCGAGATTACTAGCACAACCTTTGAGAAAAGGACGATTATAAAAGTGTCCAAAGGGGCATCACGTGGCTGGCCAACCGAGCTACAAGCCCTTGTGTATGGCAGGATGGAAGAAGCGAGGGACGGTCCCCAGGTTAGCAGCCTGCTGCACCAGCTCACAGCCTCGTCTCTGGGGTGGGGTGGTCTCGACAGTCCCTCGAGGGCTCAGGGACGATCTGAGGAGCCTCGGGACTCGGGTCGTGACACTGATAGCCTCTCGGTGATAAGGGTGAGACTCTGGCCGGACACAGGACGGGGCAGTGGTGTGATGGCCTCTGGGTGACCCTTGGGAGGCTCGGGCGGCCCGGCGCGGGGCCGGGGCTCCGGGACCAGCAGTTGGGAGCAGGTCCTACCTCCTCGGTGGCCGTGGGGCAGTAGGAGATGAGCACGAGCGTGGTGAGCAGGTTGACGGCGAGGCCAAGGAGGGTGATGGTGTTGGGGGCCATCCAGAGCGGGATCCACTGCAGCAGCCAGGTCCAGAAGAGCTGCAGCGGCGGCTCGAGCAGCGACGCACCGGCCGCATTGTAGCGGTGCTC